CTATTGGGCTATAGGGCTATACGGCTATAGGGTTATAGTGCTATAGGGAGATTGGGCTATTGGACTATAGGGATATAGGGCTATTGGGCTAGGCACCCCCGGGCACTTCTGGGCACCCTGGGCACCCGGGCATCCCTGGGCACCCGGGCACCCAGGCACCCCCGGGCACCCCCGGGCACCCGGGCACCCGGCCCCGGCCACCGAAATCGGCCACACACCTGGGCACCCGGGCACCCCCGGGCACCCCCGGGCACCCGGGCACCCGGCCCCGGCCACCGAAATCGGCCGCTCGCCTCACCTCAGCTTTATATCCGCTAGGACCCCTACAGAGGCAAGCTCTGCAATCCCCCGCTTTCCATCCACCATCCAGCAACAACCATCCGCAATCCAGCATCCATCATCCACAATATATCACTCATCAGCCATCGTCAATCATCCACCATCCACAGTCCACCACTACCACCACCACCACCACCACCACCATCATCATCATCATCATCATCATCCTCCTCCTCCTCCTCCTCCTCCTCCTCATCATCATCATCATCATCATTATCATCATCATCATCATCATCATCATCATCATCATCATCATCATCATCATCATCATCATCATCATCATCATCATCATCATCATCACCATCACCATCTTCAACAGCGAAAAAAACAACAGCAACAACAACAGCAACAGCGACAGCAACAGCAACAACAACAGCAACAACAACAGCAATCATCATTTCAAGACTGGTCGCTCTTACCTGCTCGCGTGCCATTCAGCACGTGTATCGTATATCCCAAACCCTCGATACCCACCCTCTTCGACTCCGACCGCTCCCCTTGGGGGTAATGCTCCTTATCTGCCGCGTGTAACTGGCGCAGCCCTTAAAACAGGGGAAGAGAAGACTGATGGAGAGAAGAGGGAGAAGCATGGAGCACGGGATTAGCAAGGGAGGGGCTAGGAGCAGAAAACACGTGATCGGGCGGGTAGACCCGAACGTGCGGGTCGGGAAGGCGAGCCCAAGCGGCCAGTTCGAGATGTCGGGTTGCTGACGCGAGGAGGTCTCGAGCGACATCGCGATTCCAAAGTGAATCGCGAGAAAAACCAAAGGGAGAGCGCGACTCGAGGGCGCGACGTTTGAAAAATTGCGAGGAAGTCACACGCGAGAGCGTGATTCCTGAATAAGTTGTGAGGACGTCCCGCGCGAGAGCACGATTGGAATACACTGTGAGGAAGTATGAGACGGGAGCCGCTGTTGTTGTACACTGGAGGCCAACGATACCGGTTTGTGATCAGCCCTTTTCCTTGGACCGGCGCTGCACCCGCAGAGGGGAAAAGAAGACCATAACAGCAAACGTAAACATACGGTCGGGAACTTCTGCATGGCGCGTCGCCACGACGGCCCCGGCGACATGCTACCCCCTGAGAGTGGATAGCGTGTGGCTCCGCTCCGCGGGGCGGGAGGCTCGGACAAAAATCGGGACGCTCAGGCGTGTCGCAGCGAAGGCAACGAAATGGACGGCGTGTCGCAACGAGGCGCGGTGGGCAAGAACCAGCGGAGCGACACGCAAACCAAAAATCCCCGAAAGTACGTAAACTCTCGGAGGTCCGTGCGGTTCCTTGGGTCGGCGCTGGATACCCCTCCCTGGCGCGCGGAGCGCCCTGGGGCAGCGCCAGAGGCGCCGCCAAGAGGGGTCCAGCGCGGATCCGAGGAATCCGCAGACTTCCGAGCGCTACGTATTGTTTACGCAGGTTTTCTCCTTCGAATCATGAGTCACCCTGTTGACGGACCCAGGGCCCCTCCCAGGGGCCAAAAGTGGCGAGAGAGACCTCCCTCGCGACTCCCTCGTGCCGCCAGGACGCCTGGAGAAGCAGAGGGCCTTCGCAGGAGGCGGCGGGACTTCTCAGAAGCCCTCGCGCCTTCGGAAGGCTCAAAGGCTGGGGGGCTTCCGAGCCTCCTGAGAAGGCCCGCCCCTTCTCACTCCCCCCGCGGGCTCGCCGCCGAATCCACCCTGCCATCCTCCGATCCAACTTTTTGACTCCGCATACACAGAGCTCCCGACCCCTCCTCCTCCTCCTCCTCCTCCTCCTCCTCCTCCTCCTCATCATCAGCATCATCAGCATCATCAGCATCATCATCATCATCATCATCATCATCATCATCATCATCATCATCATCATCATCATCGTCATCATCATCATCATCATCATCATCATCAGCATCATCATCAGCAGCAGCATCAGCATCATCATATCTTCATCATCATCATCATCATCAGCCGCAGCAGCAGCAGCATCAGCATCAGCATCATCGTCATCGTCATCATCATCATCTCTCAGCATATCATCAGCAGCAGCATCAGCATCAGCATCAGTCATCAGTCATCATCAGCTTCATCAGCATCATCATCATCATCATCATCATCATCTCATCATCTCATCTCATCACAGCATCTTCATCATCAGCAGCATCAGCATCATCATCATATCAGCAGCTCAGCAGCAGCATCAGCATCAGCATCTCGTCATCGTCATATCATCATCCAGCATCATCAGCATCATCAGCTCATCTCATCATCATCATCATCATCATCATCATCAAACATCATATCATCATCATCCCCCTCCCCTCCTCCTCACCTCCTCCTCCCTCCTCCTCCTCCTCCTCCTCCCCCCCTCCTCCCCCTCCTCCTCCCCCTCCTCCTCCTCCTCCTCCTCCTCCTCCTCCTCCTCCTCCTCCTCCTCCTCCTCCTCCTCCTCCTCCCCCTCCTCCTCTTTCTCCTCACCCTCGGGTAGGCTTCCGCCCCGGGTCCACGTCTGACGACACGGGCCCCGAGCACGGGCCCCAGAGGCCGGGATCGACGGCAGACGCCGGGACTGCAAAGAAGTCGCCTGGGAGCGCCGGGGCGCTCCCGAGAGCGCCTGCGAGCGCCTGGGAAGCGCCTGGAAGCGCCCAGGACGGGATCGTCGGAGATGTGGGCACACCCAGACCCCCGACGTCATGATTTTCTGTTTGCAGCCTCAGGCCCCCGAGGTCTCGGCCAAATCCCCGGGACCGGCTTCTCATCCTGAGCCGTTCTGGGAAGGTCCTGGGGCCTGGTGTGGGGTCGGGCATGTCCCGGGCAAAGAGTTGAAAATACTATATATATATATATATATATATATATATATATAAGTAGTCAAAACTCAGAAGATCGTCCCCAGACTATGTTGTGACTATTTCTGGATTTTCCTCCTGTAGAGGGACATGCCCGACTTAAGCCTGGCGAGGGCCCGGGCCGAAAACCGCGAAACGCTGTCCGTCGTGGTTTTTTTCACGACGCATGGGGGCCTGGATACGGCAGGTCCTTGTCGTGCCCACCAAGACGTTGGTTTCTGACACCGTGGGGTTATGTTGCTCCCATCGCACTTCAGGACCACGTCCCAGAAAGAATTTCGAGCACCCAAACAAGTAGCGAAACAGTGTCGAGCGAGTATCGCCTCCCAGGGCCCGGCACGTGAAAACCTTCCAGTTTCGGCACTCTCTTGGTGCTCGAAATTCTTTCTGGTGGTCAAGGCTAAAGTAGGTTGGGACATCATAACCGTGGGGATCCTTCAACCTTGAACGATTGGCCGTTTCTGAAACGTCAGATCATTCAACATCGATCGACTCTGGGTCGCCAGCGGCGTTCAACGATGCAGGCGGCGGGGTCGCCGGCGGTCGACACGAAGCGAACTCGCCGTACCTGTTGGCGGCGGCGACAAGTGGGGGGGGGACTTTCCCCGAAGACACGGAAAGCTCCTCAGAAGGCGCGAGGGATCCTGAGAAGTTCCGCCGCCTTCTGAGAAGGCCTTCTCCATCTCATTTCCCCCCTGGGCGAACCACCGAACGTAGTTTTGGAGTCATAACTCGAGTTTCTGGAGGCCGTTTGGGACGATCTAGGCACCCCCGGAACGCTTTCGGCAAGGCGCAACCGCTGGGACGCATCCGAGGCCGACAAGCCGCCGAGGACCCACGAAACCGTCCGAAAACCTCGAACCACGAACCCGAAACTTCCCTCCCCTCGCTCGCCGCCGAGACAGAGGGGCGAGGCTGGCTCAGCCGAGGGGGCCGTCGGCCTGGAACCGACGCTCCCCCTCGCTCGCCGCCGACTCCGGCGCATGGCTTCAAGGTGCCACGAGGGACCACGACCAAGCGCCGAGGCCGAAAACATCGAACTTCGAACCCGACACTTCCCCTCCTCGCTTGCCGCCGAGGTTGGCGGCGCCTCCTTCTGCGCGCCGCCCGCCTCCGCGCACGCGAACCCCTTCCCATGGGGCCGGGCCCACAGACCCCCGACGTCATGATTTTTGCCATAACGTCGACCACCAAGAGGAGGAGGAGAGGAAGGAGGAGGAGGAGAGGAAGAAGGAGGAGGAGGGGGAAGAGGAGGAGGAGGAGGAGGAGGAGGAGGAGGAGGAGGAGGAGGAGGAGGAGAGGAAGGAGGAGGAGGAGGAGGAGGAGGAGAAGGAGGAGGAGGAGGACGAGATTTTCCACCACGTCGATCCCCAAAATTCTCGACCCCTCCCCAGGACCAGTTCCTCATCCTGCGTCGGTGTTTGCCGGTCCCGAGGCCAGGTAAGGGCCCCCCCCCCCCCCCGGAGGCCAAACATGGCGCAGAACCCTCCGTCGTGACTTTGTCAAGACCCGATGGGGTCGGGGCCTGCATCCTGGGCCGTTTCGTGGGCGGCCCCAGGATCCCGCAGAGATCCCCGCGGAGGCCCCCGCAGAGGCCTTCTTCGCCGAGGCCCCCGCGGAGGCCCCCGCGGAGGCCCCCACGGAGGCCTTCGCCGAGGCCCCCCGCGGAGGCCCCCCGCGGAGGCCCCCCCGCGGAGGCCCCCCGCGGAGGCCCCCCGCGGAGGCCCCCCCGCGGAGGCCCCCCGCGGAGGCCCCCCGCGGAGGCCCCCGCGGAGGCCCCCGCGGAGGCCCCCGCGTGCCGGCCGGCGGCGCCTCTTTCTACGCGCCCCCCTCCTCCGCGCACGC